GATTCATCTCTACTCATTTGATCATTCCATCATTATAGTATCCATTTGACTATAGTTGACATTTGACTCATTTACTCATTATTACCCGTAATTATTTGTTGATTGTAATGTTTTCCTTACTTGTATTTATTCATCCGCTCGGAAGTATGTGTTTATCATGAACCGTTTTATAATTGCTTATTTTCGCGCTCTTCAGCTTTTGGACAGTCTTCGAACTATCTGCCTCTCCATCACGGATAAGAGGAAGACAAGAAGAAAATTAGGGAATCGATCATGCTTTTGTGACACTAAGAAGAAGAAGAGGAAGAAGCAATTCGGCAAGTCGATCATCGGTTTGTAAAAGAAGGAAATTGTTAGTCTATTCAGGCGTCCTGATAACGAGCCTTAGGTCCTTAGGTCTTCAGATCTGGAACTATCCTTCTTCTACACGCTTTTCTACTGCCGAGGGCTGAAAGAAAAAAAAGGAAGAATGGCCTAATCCACACCTTTATCTCAGAATAGGTTGGTAGAATTTATTTACAGAATATATGCAAAAAAGAACAGGTTAATAGTTATTCACAGAGGAAAAAAGAAGGAAGTTGATGTAGGGGGTGACATGTTCCTCGTTTGAGCAAAATGTCTGAATATTGGATCGCATTCTTGGACATGAAAAGGCATATTTAAGTTCAAACTCACGTATTATTGTGGTACCCAAAGAAGCAGGTGTACTAAAGCAGTCAGAAAGTCCGTGAAATCCTTGCTCGGTTTCGGATAATGCAGTTCTGCATAGAACTTTTACCCAGAGGATGCCTTTTTTTCTTCTCGGAAAGCACTGGATATCTCAGATCCTGATGAGTTCGTGCAAGAATCTGTATTGTCAACTATATCAAACGATTCGGGAATTTCCCTGTAAAGGTTCTATCCATCGTAGTTCTTTTCAATGCGGTGGAGTGGAAGAAGTTTGAGGATCATGGTTGACTGAATTTGAATTTTCATTAGAATGCTGTCTAATGGGACCTTCTCCAAAACTTGGATGCGAGCGATTCTTCAATTTAGTTCCGATGCATAACTTTGGTATTCTCAAGAAAAAGATGGTTCTAAGCTAATGAAGGGGAAGAAAAATCAAAAGAATATTGAGATGTTCGATTCCATTATTGTGCTGTTCATTGAAGTTCTAAATTTTAAAGTCACTTTAGTGTAATTCGGCTTCAGTTTAGTTGATCGAACTGATGTATTCCCTATGGTCCGGATTCGGTATGTTCATAATTTTTTAGAGATGTGAAATATTGAGTGAACCAGGATTGTTCATTTTTCCTTCAATTTTATAGATCAAAAGGGTTAAAATAGGGGAAATAATAAAATTTGCACTATTCGATAGGGCAAGGATTAATGAAGAATTACAAAGAATTACAGGCAGTTCTCGGGTTCCTATTTCGACAACAAAATTGGTGCGGCAACGATTGTTCCCATCGCTTGAGGGATTCCCTTGCAAGGGACGGCCTGACGACTGTCATCCGCGTTTGAAAGTAATCTTCTAATTTTATAGTACGCATTTGGAAATAGTCCTTTCCACTAAGAAACCCCAATAATTAATAGCCATAATAATATTTTATAAATAATTAAAAAATTGTGAAGAAGTTAGTAGGCTTGTAAATAAGTTTTGGGATAGCTGCGACAGCGTGGATTTGTCGTTGTTTCCTCCCCAAGTCCAGAAGTCCATATGTAAGATATCTGGGCAACCGTTCCTTCTGAATGATGACTGAATGCGTTCACATTTAATGCGAAAATATGTAACTACTCCAACAGGTGATGTCTTTGCATGCAGGAGGTTCAGGGGGAGAATGCCTTCTTTCAGAGCAGCTCCTTTTGGAAATCAACAAGGCCAGGTGTTTCATGGAAAAGGCGAAAGCACGGAAGTTACTATGATGACATCGCGGGGCCCGTGCTGCTGTCATATCTAGCAAATCGGCAGTGTTAGGGCAGGAAAAACGGCTTGACACCCGACGAGCATGATCATAAATGGTCCAATGGCTGGAGTGATTGTAGTATAAACCACTGCGAATCAACGGAAGGCAACTTGAAGGAATGGAACCTGTTAGAACGTGAATGTTTCTCTGATTCTTTCAGAAATCTGTGCACTCTCGCTTATCTCTCATCGCCTCCTCCATCCTTGATTTTCATTCTTTCTCGTCAATCTACCTGCCTGCATTCTACTACCAATTAGTGCTTTCCACCTGAATATAAGGTCTTTTCCTCTCCACATCTATAATGTTCTCTCGCTATCACCAAGCACATCTAGCGAGAATATGCGTGGTCGGTCACTGGGCGTCGTGGCGGGCGCCTGTGAGCCAGCTTCTAGGCAGTAGATTGGTGTGGATGGAGTGAGGGGAGGAGTCCCGTGGCGGTCGTGGTGTACGACGACCGGGCGTCCGCGCCAAGCGTTGCGTCGCCAGGGTGCCGCTGTCGGAGGACGGTGGCTCCCGGGCGGTCAAGGAGGGGTGCACGGCTCAGGCCCGAAAGGGAGCAGGCAAAAGCCCCCGCGCGACGCAGTGGCCGGATAGCGCCCGCGAGTGCTCACGTCGTCACGGCCTCTCCGACACCTTCAGACCTCCAATCGTTTTTTGTTTTCCTTAGGTTTCAGTTTTTCGAGGAATTTTGATTGTCCACTTAGACTTTCACATTTTGACATTGTTTCTGAAGGTTCCGTACCCGGTCACCTCGAGTCCTCCTTGTATCTTGCTTTCAACCGATTGAGAGTTTTCTGCGAGAGCGCTTTTACGCTTTGGTCCTTGCTTCGCTCCAATCGTATCCAGTAATTTACTCTCTTTGATGGTCCTTTTCCGTTTACTCGAAGTAGTCCTTGGGGTAAAAATTCGCTACCTTTGGACATTGCAGGCATATTACTGTGGGTTCAGTTTGCCCTTGATCTTTCTCTACCTCCTACGAAAATCACAATTACTTTTAGAGCAATTACCGCCCCCTCATCCCTACTCTCTCCTATAGCTGAATCACTACCCAGGCTTTGCAAGTTCAGGCGCTGATGCTCTGACCCATCACTCATTACTGATATAATCATTGCCACATCTATTTATTTGTTCTTTCACTGTTTATTTCGTTTGTTTAAATCACTTGAAAAGGGAAGTGGGAACCGTTGACAAAAAACTTTTATCCAATAATAAAGATACTCGAAAAGGAATACGACAATTGTAAATGTTAAACTTGACCAGAAACGAGTGGACAAGACTGACCCGTACAGGTTTGAAGCAGATGAAAACTTTCATAAGGTTATCTCTATTAATTATATGGGGACTTTATGGGATAATCATGTTTTCTGAAGTCGTAGAAGGCAATCCGTTCGCAAAAATACAGCTCCTATTGGTTACGTTGCTACTTGCTGTATATCCATAGGGTAGACTCGACGGTTTATAGGTTCTGAAGGTTCAGGTTTCCAGTTGAGTTTTCAGCAATTGGGTTCGATGGGGTTCATGGGTTCCAAGATGGAAAGGAAAAGGAGAGGGCGGAAAGATATAGACTGGCAATTGAGTGGACATGCTGCCTTTTGGGTTGGGTTGGAATAAGCCACCTTTTAAAGCACCTAGCGAGCCCCAAAGACAAGACAAACCGGAAATTTTGAACCGGGAGTTTCAAATTTTTTGCATTCACTCTCTGCGCTAGAATCAACCTATCACATAAGTGCTTACAGAAAGTATACAGCCAAGTTCAGGTGGACGGGCTCTGCAACCCGAGCGGAGTTTATTCTAAAAGCGATTACGCAGTCTGGGTTATGGGTCGGGTTTGACGTCTGCTAGCTTTTCGTAAATGTTTTCTTCATGATCAACTTCTGGTCGTCGTTGGACATCTGGTGGAAAGTCATAGATTGGCTCATAGTCGAATGTGTAAAGCAGTTGAGACGGTGTCGGCGAGGATGAGAAGACTGGCAGTTGTGGTCGAACAAATTGGCGCCCTATAAAAATCGAATGAATATTTATTTAACAACCACTAACCTTCGAAGCGGAAGACCCCAAGCACGGGAATATAACCAGCAATACTGAATGAGGGTGCAGGATAAACTTCCGGGGCTGAAGGCAGTATTCACAGCAAAGACGTGAAAGCCATAGTATTGGAGACTGAATTGGGTGCAGGACCCGAATGTTTTTCAGAAAGGCAGCCAGACAGGGATGGGTTTGGTGAGCTAAAAAAAGGGAAGGCTATTTTGTTGCCAGAGAATACCAAGGAAATATGACAAGGGACAAGGACTTATGTGCTCTCCATGACTTGAGTTGGACTGGTTTTGTGCCCTTTGATGCCCTTTTAGACTGTGCAGAACCCTTTCACTGAAGCAAGCGATAAAAAAACGAAATAATTGACAAACCAGTACCGATGGGCAACGTGGCTTCAATATTGCCATTGGGTAAATGCTTCAACGATAGTAGATGTGGGGGAATTTCCATTTTTGTAAAAGGCATGTTGGATGATGCATAATAAACCACCGAATCCTGTGGATTGGTCAACATCGACGGCGTTACGTAGATCAGGTTAGAAGGAGTGGAGCTCGGAGGTGGAGGCTGAAAATCATAACTGAATCATACCTTATTTGGAGAGAATATGACGGTAATGTATGAAAAATTCTCGGCTACAGATGAGTTGATCAGGAACAGCCGCGTGCGGTCGCGTCGCGGCACTCTTGCGTCAGACCAACAATGAGCTATGCCGTTATTTTAGATTTGTAAAAAGTTCTCTTTGCATACAGGCTTCAGATTGTGACGCCATGGAGGCCTCTAAGCGCACATCAAATGAATCCTACCTTTTCACTAATCGGCACCGTTTTCGTTGTTTTCGAAAATCGAAATACGACGAAGACGAGTATAAATGCGAGTACGACACCCAAAGCAGCGAGTCCAGCATGACTCTCCGTAGAGTTGGCTCTTAGCTCTCGTAATGTAGCAATATCTGAAGACTCTCAAAGATCAATAACTTCACGTGAAACCAAACTATCGGGTACATACCGTAACAGATAGGAACAGCGGGTTCCCACATTCCCTTAGCAGCACAGGTAACCTTGTCGTGACCAATAAGTCGATACCCCTCCATACACGAATAATTTGCCTGTGAGTCGAATGTCGTTGTCGACACGGAAACTCGTCCATTTGGAATGGTGGGCGGAGCTTCACAGTCCACTACTGCAAAGGTTCGCAATCAGCTTCTAGATTATTTGAGCACTTCAAATTCAGAGTACCATTTACTAGTCCTGTTCCTTCTTTACAATAAATATATGCAATTACAACTCAATTAATTGATACGAATAGCTGCCTTGGAAGGTTTTTTTCTGGTTCAAGTTTTATTGCATTTAATACAGCGCTGTGTGTCGAAAAAAAAGTCCAATTTTGCTTCGAAAATTTGTGGTCTAACTTCGTTTTGGACCGAGTGTGTTCAAGTTATTCCATCTTTTGCACCTGATTCAACCTAATCGAACTGGTTCAGCATCAATGCAGGCAGCTCTTGAGTTCTCTGTTGAAAAATGAAGAGCTTCCGAATATTTTCCTCTGTGCTGCGAACTACTAAATTTCAGGATATATAAGGGGTTAGCAGACCATTTGGTCAATGTTTCCAATATGATTTTGTAGGAAATTAGCGAAATTCCAGAAACTCAGGACCTTTGCAGTAGGGAGCTACGCCGCTCCAGGTACCATCATGCATGCACCGCCTCCTTTCTTCGCCTATCAGTTTCCATCCATTGAGACATTCATATTGAATCTAAAACTGTCTTTCTATTCACTCAGAAGATTTCTAGGCCAGTCAAAAAGAAAACCCGGACGGGACCTCATTGCCAAATTCAGCTGTCTCGTTCAGTAATCGAACTATTCCACCGCCACGCCACACCTCCATGCTATCGCACTTCTTTTCTAAATTATTTCTGTTTAATTGTTTTGAAATATTTAGTTGCTGAAGTTAGTATATAGGTAGTTATTATTAGTTATAGGTAGTTATTGAAGTATAAAAATGACTGGCCCAAACCAAAAAGTGGATACGGACTTTGACACTCTGGTATGGTCCCACTCCATCGGGCTGTCTCGTCGCAATGCCGC